AAGCAGCCGAGGGACCAGGGCCTGTCTGTAGAATGTGCTGGGGAAGAGTAGGTACTTGGCACGAGTAGCAGAAACAATTAGCATCACATGAGCGGAGGCCTGAAGCAGTAGGAGACAGAGGGGAGAGAGAGAAAGAAGGGTGAGGATGGTGGAGAAGAAACACGGCATCTCATTTTCATCAAGAGGACTTAAACAGAACCGGGTGCACACTTTGAGACATCCTCTTCCTTTCCTCGCCACAACTCAAACATTTTTTTCTTTTTCTTTCAGAGACAGTTTGTGTCACGGCTCATTTAAGTGATGTGTTCTTGTTGCCGGCGTGTGTGTGTGTGTGTGTTTTTTTTTTTGTTTGTTTGTCTCTGCACATTTGTAATTAGGGAATAGACAGAGGAAGCTTAGTGTCCTAAGAGAGGCACTGCATCCCACTCACATCCCCAAAATTCCTTTTTGAACATTCCTGGCTACACGCCGACTTCCCCGCGCTCCTGCTCTGAAGTTACAAGAAGAGAAGATCTAAAAGTCTGGCTTGTAGAAACAACCCCAACAGTCTTGCTCGATGAAACAATGGCTCATTAAACTTTAAATCATCCAGATATACGCTCAAAGAAAGTTTCAAACTTGAAAATGAAAAGAAACACTTTCTGTAAACCTTCAGATTATTCCAGTTCTGTCTTAATAAGGGCTCATATAGGAACCGGGTTCCTCCTTCCCATCTTGATAAAATTGTGTCCTAGCTTAAATAGCAGTAACCCAGTCCTATTTTTTGATGTTCCGTCTTCCCCATAAGATGAAGAAATGTGCCACAAAATAAACATTTATCAAAGGTAAAGCTTAGGATAAACTCGCAGGCCATAAATTAAATTGTTTCAGCACTCAAAAACTTTAGAACTGTTCCCTGTTTTCCCCGCCCTTTTCCTGACAGACTCTTGTTCTAATTGCTGCAGAGAGGTACGTCACATCACCTGCTCCGAACATAGCAACCTTCACTGTAAGACAGTGTGATGTATGACAGTGGGTGGATGTGTCCAAACTTTTTGAGTGGAACTGTATGTTCTATACTTGGAAATGCTGCACTTGTCTAAATGTACCTTTAAAGCAGAGGTGCCCAAAGTGGGGCCCGCGGGCCAAAATTGGCCTACCAAGCCATTTGATGTGCCCACCAGTGGCGCTGGTTATTAGTTTGTAATCTGTTGTCGTCTGCAGAAACGCTGTATTTCCACTGACAGTCAATCCATCCACTGGCCCAATGGCTATGTAAGAGACAGCAGATAGTTTTCACTCATGCTGCTGACTTTAAGTTCAAGTTCAAGTTCAAGTTTATTTATATAGTGCCAAGTCACAACATACGTTGTCTCAGGGCACTGAAAAAGAATAATCTAAAGAAGAAACCAGCAGATTGTGTTGAATCACTTCATCACAGTCTCCCATCCTGAGCAAACGGTGGAGAGGAAAACCTCCCTGCTAATCAGGAAGAACCCTCCAGCAGAACCAGGCTCAGGACAGGCGGCCATCTGCCTCGACCAGCTGGTTGAGGGACAGGAAAGAGACACAAACAAACACAGAAGAACTGGTCCGGGACTGGTCCAGGTGCACCTTCTTCTGGAAGACAAAGAAAAAACATGATCGAAATAATTACAATAAACATGTAGAGAACAGAGACTAAAGACAACAGCAGAGTGAGGAAATGTGGTCAGTTTGTGCTCCAGCAGTCCAAGTCCATAGCAGCAGAAATGAAGAATAATTCATGAAACCTAAGTCTAACTATATGATTTATCAAAAAGGAAAGTCTTCAGTCTAATCTTAAAAGTAGACAGAGRGTCAGCCTCATGGACAGAAACTGGAAGTTGGTTCCACAAGAGAGGAGCTGAAAGCTCTGCCTCCCATTCTACTGTTAGAAACTCTAGGAACCACAAGTAAACCTGCAGTCTGAGAGCGAAGTGCTCTGTTAGGAAAGTATGGAACAATAAGATGTTTAATATATGATGGAGCTTGGTTGTTAGGAGTTTAAATTCTATTCTGAATTTGACAGGGAGCCAGTGGAGAGAAGCTAAAACTGGAGAAATATGATCTCTCCTTCCAACTCTCATTAAAACTCTGCAGCAGCATTTTGGATTAACTGAAGACTTCTTAAAGAATTTTTTAGATGCCCAGATAATAAAGAATTACAGTAATCCAGTCTAGACGTGATAAATGCATGAATCAGTTTTTCTGCATCATTTTTGGACAAAATATTTCTAATTTTAGTGATATTACGCAGGTGGAAGAAGGCGGTCCTGGTAACATTTTTAATGTGGGGGTTAAAAGACATGTCCTGATCAAAAATAACCCCAAGGTTCTTTACATTAGAACTGGAGGCCAGATTAATGCCATCCAGAGGAGGTGAAAGGCTGCAAAGTTGATCCTTAAGAGGGTCAGGTTCAAGAACCATAACCTCTGTCTTATCTGAGCTTAGAAGCAGAAAATTAAGACTTTATCTTTCACTTATATTAAGATTAAACATGAAATAAAGTAACTAAATGAGATACAGTTTTTAGATTATATTTCAGCACACATGTAGGGTAGAACCCTTTATAAGACCAAAAATACTCAGATTTTATCAACATATGAAACGTTCAATGAGCTTTGTTGCCCGATCATATCTCAAATATTCTCCAAGTGCACCGGCTAAAAGAACAAACAAACAAAATGTGGGCCACCGCATTGGCTTCTAGCTTACCGGTAATCATAATTTAAAAAACTTTACTTAAAAAAAAGTATTTGCATTTCATGTATTATATTGAATTTGGCCCACAACCCTTGGATAGATTTTCATTTTGGCTCTCTCGGGGAAAAAGCATGGGCACCCCTGCTTTAAAGCATTACAATGCTACAATTACAGTCACTTTAAGTAAATTGTGTTAATTGCTCTCTGATTTGTGTCAACTTTGGTTTGATTGGACAAATTTTAATTTAAAGAAATACTTTAGCTTTTTTGATGTTATAAATTGCTGCATACTTTTGAAGTATCCTAAGACTTAGTTTATAGAAAAAAAGGATGTTGAGTAAAAATAATATTGTCCCTCTAATAAGGGTCTGATACAAGATTTAGACTAAGAAAAAGCAGTTGTCATTAAGCAAAGAAATAAATAAAAAATCCTTCCAGACGCAATCAAACTGCTCACAAAAGCCATTATGTTGTGCACTTGCTAATGCTTACTTACTGAAAACTGTTATAATGGGATTTTTTTAAATAACAAAAAAATTCATCTTTAAATGCTCTGACAATTCTCTCCATAAAACCTCTATTAAATCACAACAAATTTCAGTTCTGTCGCAAAACATATTTTAAAACATTGGTGAATCAGACTGCAGTGCTGTATGTTCATGTCGTTATCCAATATAATAAAAAATGAAAAAAAAAAATACACAAACTCAATAAACTAATTTAGACTTAACCAGGAGCAACAAAGCAGTAAAGATGCATTAAATAATTTCATTGTACCGCCACCAGAGGGCAGCATCACAGGTTTTAACCATCAATTCATTTTTGTCCCCTGCGGGGGACATGCCCTGTATTTAAAACATTACACTTGCAAACTATGTTAGTCCCACTGTGCTGTAAAGAGGACATCCTGGGCTTTCTATTGATGTCACATTTGTGGTCATGTGACTATCAGAGCACATGCACTTGCCTTTTTAAAATGGCGCATATCCCCATATCAACATTTTAAGGCAACAGGGTAGGTAAGTGATAAATTTCTTTTCAAAAATTATTTATATTGCAAAAAATGACATTTCCTTATTAGTATGAAAGTCTGCCCTTTACGTTTGTACAATTTTAGAAATGTACAATATTATTAACCCTGTAAAAATAAAAGTTTTATCCAGTGTCCTTTGTTGGGGACAGTGGGACTTGCTAATGACGATCTTAACCACTTTTCATGCCTTGGAAAGTTTAGGACTGAATGATGCAGAAATGATTTAATGAGTGTTGTGGAAGGAGAGCTGTCAGGAGATGATGAGGAGGAAGGCCAGATAGTAGAGCAGGTATGTGAAAGTTCAGAGCAAGACATAACAGTTTTTGTGGGTCCTGAAGAGGAACAACATGAAGCCAGCTAATATTGATGAAAAGTAATATGTAAGTTAGGGTCATGGAATTTATTGGTAATAATGAGTGCAAGTGAAAAATGTCAACTTTTTAAAATTTATAACACATTGACACAATAAAGTAAAGTTTTGTAATGGCAATTAAATATGTAATTACACATTTTGCATTACGTTAATGTATAATTCTCTTTTTTCAGTCAACATAGTTTCAACCCTGTTGTGGAGGAGACTCCCTTGCAGGAAAGCAAGGGGCACAATTTCCAAGGCTAACTGATTACTGTAATCAGTACAAAGAAAATAGCATTTTTGAAGAAAATGTCAGAATACACAAACCAGCAAGAGTACTTAAACATGTGATTAGTTATGTAAGCACTTCTAAAAGCCATTTCTTCAACTGTTTTGTCTGTTTATAAATTTCAAAAAGTGTAAATCTGTTTTAAGTATTTATAAAATAAAAATAAATGTAATTTATCAGTTTTAAATAATCATTATGTAAAGAAAAATTTTATATCAAGCAAGACACGATGCCCATTGTAAGAGACATTGGGTAAAATTTAAATAAATAACATTTATGAAAAAAAAAGTTGCAATATGTTTCTTTCAACCTCAATACGTAAAACGTGAAAAAAAAATCTAAACACCAAAACTTTTTTTCTTCTGGGTCTCAGGAGGTAAAACCAGCGACAAACTGTGATGAACTAAAAAAGTGTGAAGCAATATAAAAATCCTAAATAACTTTTTGTCAATTAAACATTTGTTTTCATTTTATTACAAAAGATACACTTTAAAATCATTTTTCCTGTTAACAGACTACTGCTCAACTGTTCAAAGTATTCAATTTTCCTAAACTGTGTAAAACAGTAAAATTTCTCGTTTTGCAACAGAACTGAAAATCAATATGTCCCCTTTAAAAGTCCAACCCAAGTAAACAAATGTGAGTACAAAAGAGGTGACAGATCTAGCTGTGTCAGGTTTTCTTTCTCAAAATCTTAACCCTCTAACAGAATGTCTGCAGACATTAAAATAATCCTCTGCATTGGACTGGCTGTCATATTCACAGGTAAATTATAGCTAACACACAAATATGTGTCTAACAGTAACAATTTAATGATATTTTGCTGCTTTTATGTTTTATTGAGCAGATGTGGGAAAGTCTGCCCTCATTGGGAAAAGCCACAGTAAAGGAAATGCAGATCCTGTGCTGCAGTACGTAGTTAACAACTCACTGAGGGAACATCCAGTCCTCACCAAACTCAAACTGGTAAGAAAGACATGTTTTATGTTTGTTTTTGAGTAGTTACCAGGTAAATAAATGAGGAACTTGCTGCTTTTGATCACTTAGTTGTGGACTTTTTAAATTAAATCTGCCAATAAGAATAGCTCATGATGTGACTGGTAAAAAAAAAAAAGATGTTTAATTCATGATGGTGGTCTTGGTGCAGAATAGTTGTGTTAATAAATTGTGATCTAATTGTTAAAATTTGACCATGAATGTATCATTTTTAACACCTATACTTGAGTGGTTCTGAGTTTTCTCTGATCAAACATTGAAATAGGACTAAAAATAAGGTATTCATTTATTTATATTTGTCTTATTTCGAAATATTTGTTTTTTTATTCTAAACTATAAACAAATTTGGACTTCATTCAGTGTTTATTAAATCAATTAAAGCAGTATATAATAAACTAAAAGTTAAAATAAAAATAAATGAAGTGGTATGAAATTTAGTTATACTAGAAAGGGGGATCAGACATTGAAATAGGACTAAAAATAAGGTATTCATTTATT